TCCTCTTCCTCTTCCTCTTCCTCTTCCTCTTCCTCTTCCTCTTCCTCTTCCTCTTCCTCTTCCTCTTCCTCTTCCTCTTCCTCTTCCCTTGGTGTCTGCAGAGCTGCTCCTCTCTCATGTTCTCAACCTGCTTTTCTTAACCAGATGTTAACCGGATTTTTAACCCGATTTTTTGGCCAGATTTAACAAAAATCCTGGATTTCATACCCAGAAAATGGTGATTGTTCCCCCTCAGAGCAATGTGTGGCTGCTGGCTCAGCCCTGGTTGGGACAGGGCTTGGCTGGAGGAGCCATTGGCTTTAGATAAGAGTTGACCTTATTTTACAAAGAAAAGGGAGAGGAGGGAAGGGAAAAGCAGGATTTTCTGTTTTTCTTCCTTCCTCAGCCCAGACTGCACACCTGCAGTATAAATCATCCTGGAGAATCTGCTTGTAAAAACATGAGCTTACCCAACATTCAGGGGTTGGTTTTTTGGTTTTTTTAATGGCCTGGGTTAGAAAATAAGACACAAAAAAAGAAAATGTAGAATCACAGAACTACAGAACAGTTTGGGTTGGGAGGGACCTTGAAGCCCATCCAGTGCCACCTGTGCCATGGCAGGGACACCTTCCACTGTCCCAGGGGATTCCAAACCTTGTCCAGCCTGGCCTTGGGCACTGCCAGGGATCCAGGGGCTGCCCCAGCTGCTCTGGGAATTCCATCCCAGCCCCATTCAGGGAGGGCAGCCCTGAGCCCCCACAGAACTCACAGCCTGGAGGAAACCCCAGGGAGGGTTGGACACACATTTGGACATGAGGATCTGCTCACTGAGCCCTCCTCCACTGGAGGTGACCATGGTTAACAAGCTTGCAGCTCCTTTAAAATGAAATTACCCTCAGTTTCTTTTCAGCCTCTATTAGAAATTATTTTTGATGCTGTTGTAGTGAGAGCTGCACCTTTGAAGCTTTTCCAAAATAGCCTCAATCCACCTGAGGGAGCAGCAGCTGAGGTGATCCAAGAGAGAACTGACAGGGGATTTCCCCCAGGTGTTTGTGAGGTGAAAGCCCAACCCTTTGTTGGGCTGGGTGTGAGCTGGGACAGGGATTGTCCAGGTTTGGGTTTGGGTTTGGGTTTGGTTTGGGTGTGCTGGAGGTGAGGAAAAGGGAACGTGACAATGGTGGCCACAGGATCCAGAATAGAATAGAATAGAATAGAATAGAATAGAATAGAATAGAATAGAATAGAATAGAATAGAATAGAATAGAATAGAATAGAATAGAATCCATAATTATGGATTATTATCCTGATTATGGGCCCAAAACTCTTGGTTTGAGGATCACCTAAAGGAGCTCCAGGAGAGCTGGAGAGGGACTGGGGA